CAACCCCCGTACAGCCTACCACCTTCTACAGTACAGGTTTTAATGTGTGTTCTTCATACTTCATATATCCCTCTTGGTCCACATAACCTAGGAATTTACAAACAAACTCTACTTAGAGGCATCGTCAGCCTGGACTTTTGCAGAAATTCAGACTGCTGAGGGAGATATGGTATTTAGTTAAAACGAAGTGAAGCCCTGCATAAATCATAAAGAGGTGAACCCAGGTTAGTCAAACAGGGCCCTAGGAGGTATTTGGGGAATAGACTTGCCGGCAGTTTTAGTTCCCTACATTTGATTTAATTCCAAAATCCTGAGGCTCACAAGTACCCCAGGAGTAACTTGGCTCTCCAATGCTGAGCAGGTCTTGACCCTGGAGCAGAGTTCTGGTGTTGTTTCCTGAATTCCCATATTGCTGTTTTCCACACATGGATCAGGCTTCAAACTTCCTGTGTCTGGATGTGTGTGTGTGTGTGTGTGTGTGTGTGTGTGTGTGTCTGTGTGTGTGCACGCACATGTACCCTTTGGTTCCTGTCCTGTTCAGACAAGGCTTCTCTCTTCTGGTCAGTTGACATCTTCGTGTTCAGGGTTTGGGTGCTCAGAAATCGGGAGGTACCTAAGCTTTACGGGGCTGCCCTAGAGAAGGCAGACTTTCAGCAAGTTTCTAGTTTGTCAGAGGCTGTTTTCCAGGGGTTGACGGGGGGAAAGGAGGCAGAACTGTAGGTAACGACATAAATATGTAGAATTTATTTGTTGTAGAGTCTGTGCTTGCTTCTGCTTTTGTTCCTAAACACATTTCAATGATTTCGTTGTTCACAAGGCAATTAGAGGAAGATGTGCTCATTTCCCCCTCCCAGCTCCCCGGTGGGTGGAGGAGCAGTCATTCATTGCAAAAGACTGTGCGGTTTTATGGTCTTTCAAGAATATGGCAGGCATCGAAGAATTCACCTCCCTCTACTTTCTGCTTGTCCTGGAGGTCAGGCAAAATTTTATATGTGAAAGACAGACTTTTTATTAAGACGTTCATTAGTTGACAAAACGTTAAAAACGAACGTTTTCATGAGGTACATATGACTTAAATGGCTCTTGAAGAGATGGAAGTCCTGGCAAGCTGGGCCTCGATGGCCTATGGTAGGGCTCCAGCTGCCCTTTTTACGTGAAAAAAAAAAATAAAAGAAAATCTACTCTTGGTACTGTACGTCATCGCATTGATTTTAAGGACGCGTACAATTAAAACATTGCGCAAGCATCACCACTGTCTAGTTCCGATCTTCTTCATGCTTCGAAATGGAAACCCTTCCTATGAAGCACTCTTTTCTCGGGCACACGTTTATTCCTCCTTCATTTGTGTTCCCTAAGAATCTGCGTCCTGCGGCTCCCTCACGCAAGCAGAAGCACAATCTGCTTTATTCCGCACAGGATCTCCAAGAGTGATATCTTTTCTTTTGACGGACAATTTCATTTTCCAGCACAGACTTTCCACATTGAAAAAGGAATTGCATTTTATGAAAAAGGGTCAAACAGGGTACCTAGCACAGAATGAAGAATCTTTAGTTCGCAGATGAAAACGTCCTTATTTTTTCCTCCATATAGTAAGATGCTTCTTCATGTGTAGTACTGCAGTTACCCAGTGTCTTTACACAGGTGTTTGACGGCTAGTGCTTAATTCTCCTGGTATCCCCCAGAGGGCTTTCCATGTTTTATAGGCAAGTCTTGAAGACTTAGGGATGCTGTAGGGATTAGTTAAATGTGTGTGGCATAGTCTGCTGTGTAAACTCACTCTCTGAAAGGTAGCTCTCACTCCCCGCTCTTAACGTCTACAGCTTTTACCATCAATACCGCTCATGTAGCACTTAGCAGACACTTGCTAGTTGTCTTCTCATGTGTATGTGCTGGAAGGCAGGAGCCAAGTCTCATACCTTTTTGTTTTTTTAGTCCCGTCCATAATAGCACTTCAGTCTATGTTTGTTGATGTTGCCCTCTCATTCCCTTTTAAGTAGAGCAGGCAAGGCAGAGCTTTATAAATTCAAGCTCACTTTAAACAAACTGAAAGGTTTTCGGGGTAAAAATACAGAGGAAGTCTTGCATGGCGGGAGAGGAGGAACCGCCTAAGACGTTAAGACACTTGGAAGACCCCCAGGGGAAAACAGAGTTTACCTAAAAACCTGCTGTTTTTGCCACAGGCTAAGTCAGAAATGACTCACACATCGCCTGCTTCACCATTACAATTTCAAATTGTTGGCGAGTCATATCCAAGGTTTACTCTTCTAGGCTCCGATAGCAGTGGAAAAGACATTTTGGAAGTGTTGTAGACGGCAACGTCAATAGTCAATAGTGTCAATAGCGGAAGCAAGCATATCGCGCTGAGTCCCCAGGCTTTTGCTACTGCAATGTAGTTTTCTGCGGTAACACAAGATTGGAAAGTGGCCCTTGGTAAGAAAGTGAGTGAAAGGGTTTTCACTCAGTTAAGAGCGAAGTGGAGGTTAAAGTGGTCGTCCTGATATGAAAGGAAGGACATGTAAGATATGTCATTGAATAAACAAACCCAAGGGTGGTGTGAGTGCGGACCCTACCTATAAGAGAGCAAAAGAATTCATCACTGGACACGTTCCTTCTTGCCTTACTTTCATCTTCCCATGTGTACATTTTGCTTTTTCCATTTTAGCAGGATTGTGGAGCTAAAAAGCTTCCTTTTGTGACTACGATCAGCTGCAAACCTTCAGGATGGCCCCATCACTTTTAGTTCCGGGTCCGTGTTTCTAAATACAGAACAACTCTGCCTCATAAACTAGATGCTTCTGTATTTTAAACACTCAAAAAATAAAATAAAATGTTACTTTCCCCAAAGGGAAAAAAAATCACCCAAGTAACCTCTCTTCACACATAGAGTGAATCTTACTCAGAATCCATTTTGCCAGGCACCAGCCTCCGAGTCAGCAGCTACTAGGAGAGCCTGCTGTACGTTCTGCAGCAAGCCTCCCACCTGCTACCTTTCATAGACCCAGAGGGATGTTTGGAGACCCTAGTAATCATGAAACAGTGTTTTGTGTTGAGCATACCTTCTTTGGGTTGCCTTGATGCAAGGCTCCCATTGGGTGGGCTGGAATTGGATGGCCCTCTTTCATGGCGTGGCTTCATTCTAACAGCTTTGAATGCATGGGGGCCTTTATACCTTTCCTTGTTTCTAACTCAAATGTTTTCTAAGAAGTACAGATCTATATAGAATGATGGTTTCCATGGAAAATCTTTGCTCATATCTGTTTGTTCAAGTTCACTTTGGTGATCCACAGCATGATTTCCTCGCTCAGCATCAGCGCCACAATAGCTTTAGGTCGTGGGGAAACTGCAAAACTGGTTGCAAAAGCAATCTCACCCACCCTGGTTAGAGGAGGGGTAATTTATTATTCTAACTGCAGGGAGCCAACTTCACATCCACCCTCAAAATTATAGGAAAAGAGGAGGCTTTTCAAAATAAAACCACAGAACTTACACAAGCCTGGATATAAATGCTTAAAACAGATGAGCTAGAGTCCCCGCCATGTGTATCGTATAAGCATGGATTGATTTATAGTTTTTAACGTACATTTCATTTTATTTTCGCATCTGTAGCACTACAAGCCCAGTTCATGCCTTACAGTGCTTTCGTACAGATAAGGAAATTTAGGCCCTCTAAAAGTCCCGCAGCTTGGTAATATGGGCGAGAGCCCAGAAGGAATTCTTTCTTTGGTTCAACTTCCTTGTTGTTTTGCTCTCCCTTGACTGCTTCTTTTTGTTTTCTTTTACACAGATGTTACCTTGTAGATTTCAACCCCTCATCTCGTGCCTCGCGATGCTGTTGTACTCAACTCTGTGTGTACTTGAGCAGTATGAATTTTTCGCAGCCAGGAAATGTGAGCACCACATTGACACTTCATGTCCTTTCCCTTTCCAGGTTTAACAGATGAAGAGCGAACAGTTACCTATTCGCGGAGAGTCAGACAGTGCTTTAAATACAAAGTTATATCCCAGTTGGCAAACACACTGCCGCACCCTTTCACGAGACTAAGAAGTCAACCGTCTCGTCTACCTATTCTCAGCAGAGGCTGGGGGAGCACAGAGAGCTAGACAATAGTCACTTGTTTGGTTTTATTAATTTTGAGGGCGGGTGGGATCAAAGTATGTGATTGGCGACTGAAAGGACCAATCACGGCCCAACAGCAGGCGTGACTGACCAATGAATAGATGCAAAAGAATGGTGGGTGGAACCTACTCAGGGCCCCGCTCTGCCTAGTAAGCACTCCCAAGAGGTGGAGCTTCCTCTGAGCCACGCCCATTTCCTTGTGCCCTAGTGGTCAGACTCTAGGAGTGGGCAACGACCCTGGTCGAGATTTGGGGCAGGAGGCAGGGGAAAGTGTAGGAAGGTTGAAGCTGTGGGTGGGGTGATGGAAAAAAAGAGGGGGATCTTGCAGACTTTGCCTTGAGTGGGTTGCCAGTTGGTCAAAGGAAACCGGAGAGTGGCTGGGCGGGCGCGGGAGGGGGGCGACGAAGGAGAGTTGCTCCTTCCTGGATTTGTGAAGCTGGCTTTGCCTCCGTGCTGCTTTTTCTGCTTTTCTACGATTTTTCTTCCGCCCGCGAGGGGGCAGGGAGCTGCGCTGAGTCTCCCACGCTACTTTGCTGCGCTGTCGCCATAGATTATTAAAGTCTTTGGAAAAACAACACAACAAAACAAACCCCGTTCCTTCCTTTCCTTTCTCCCGCTTTAATTCCTGCAAACACTGTCGGCACTACCGCCACTGAGTCGAGTCCAGCGCGTGGGAGGACGAGAGCCAGCTAGTTACCCCAGCTCTCTCCGAGACTCCTGAACGCAGCGGATCAATTGTTTAAAAGTTCCCCGCCCAAAGGCCGCCTCTCCTCCTGGGGCACCGCCTCCTCCCCTTTGCCCGCCAGTGTCCTGCGGGTTTTCCTCCCGCCTCTCGCCCTGCTGGCCCCGCCCTCGGCTCTGCCCATTCCATCTTCCAGCCCCCTCCTTTTGGGCGGTCCTACCCGCTCGCCGCCAGAAGAAAAGGCACCCGTTCCTCCCCCTCTTCTACCTCCCATCCTTTGCTCAGGAGCTGCCTTCATCGCAGTCACGCCCCTTCCTTCCAGGAGCTTTCTGGCTGCGTTCGCTGGTAGACCCCTGAATTACTCCTCCATCCCCGTTCTCTTTCGTCTCTTCTCTAGTTCCCATCGCCTTCCCCCACCACCTCCAGCCTATCTCGCCTCCCACTATCCGCTGCTCCACCCTCCGGCCCGGTATCCTGCCTGCCTGTCCACTGCCACCAAGGAGAGACCCGAGGGAGCAGCGAGGTGGAGAGTAGCCGGGACCTGGGGCTTCCTCCCTACCCATCCCTGGCCTCTGGCCCGGGACCGAAGCCACTTGAGCCAGCGGAGAAAATCGTCACCTTGTCTTCATTGCCTTCAGGGGTAGGAGAAGCGTCGTTACTTTTTGCGGGGAACTGGGGCAGTAGTCTGTGGTGTTGTGAACTTAATCATGCCCTTATTTGTGAGTAGGTTGTTATATGTGCCTGTGGGGATTGCCTGTACGTCCACTTTTTGGCTGTTGGCCTTGAGTTTTCCGAGGTGTGCATGAAGTTTAAAACAGTTTAAAAGTATGGACTCCTCTCGTACTTGGAGGAGATGCTGGAAGGTACTATCCGGGTGCTCCTTATTGCGTCCCTGGGTTCTTGTAGGTCCCTACTGAATTGATCACTTAAGGAACGAAAGACCTTAACTAAGTTAGGGACTCTGAGGTCTACCTTTAGTCCTGCTTGAAGGTTTGTCTTTATCTCAGATAGCTAGATAACTTTCTTCTAAGTGCTTGGCTTGGGGTGGGAGCTCACCCTCCCTGACCCCCAGGCCATGAATTCTTCAAGTTTTCAAATGTGGAAGTAACGCACGCGTGTTTGTGTGGTGGTGGTGGTGGTGAGGTTTGGGAGGTGGAGACTGCCGTTATTTGCTTCATAAAATCAGAAGATTTTAATAAATAGTTCTGCAAACGGAGGTGTTTGTTTTAAGGTCCGAGCCTTGGCCATGGTACTTCAGTTCACCAATAGCAGGACTATCTTCATAGATAGGTAAAAAATGAACAGAAGTAAAGGGGGGCAAATGACACATTTTATAGACTGTGAGCAGTCCCTGATAATTGCCACTAATAAATAATAATAATTTGCAGCAAGGGAAAGGTGAAGGGAAAAAATTTGAGAAAGCCCTCTCTGTTACTATCCCTTTCCTCCGTGAAGAGTAGATGTCAGGCGACAGTTTAAAACTTCTATGAATATAATCTTTTCCTCCCATAATTCATTACCATAATCTTTAGTGATGAAGGGCTAATGATACGTAAGTTTTCTTGGGTTTGGCCATGTGAACTGTTCTCTCTCAGGCCAGCTTTTGTGAAGCCTCCTCAGACCTTTCAGTCCCCTCATTCAGTAGCTAAGAATAGTCAGAAATGCCATCTTGGACATGGCCTAAATTGTCACCTATCTCCTACCTCTCTTAAGTTGGGCAAGTGCCACAAGCCCTGGTTGTGTTGAAAGACTTGTTACTGAGATGTCCCCAATCTATTGCTTATTCTTTAGGGAACAAACCATTTACGTCCATGTTAAACTAATTTTCTTAGGTTGATTTTAACTGGGGGAGAGGGGTGGGAGCGAGAAGTTAGGAAGGTAGAGAAGGGAGGTGACCATGTTACATGGTGACAATTTTAAAGGCTATCGTGTTTCAGATCAGCTGGGAGGGAAAGGCTGGCCTGACCAAACACAATTTTAAAACTGGCCTGGGACATTTTACTAGCCAGGTGGTTGTAGAGGAGCTACATCTATTTACAGATGCTAACTCAGGTCCCAACTATTCTGTGCGGGTTTGCCTGGTGTCACTTGCAGGCACTCTCTGGCGCTACATCATACTTCATTTTAAGTTACTTCTTTCTTTGGGAAAGTTTGTGTGTCTGTAAAATTGAAAGTTATTTTTCGTCTTCTTTCTAATCCACAGCCTAGGTGCAAAGTAAACCTGTCACTCCACCTGTATGTACAGTAAGTTTTACATGGACATTGTAATCCCTTTACTGGATGAAAAATAGTTTAGAAAGAGAGTTTAGCGATTCGTAGTTGACATTGAGATACGAACCTTAAAGTATAATTTTTCATTTATGAAGTAAGGTTTGTTAGACTAATGCATAACTAAGGCCTTTTCTGAGGTTGATTTTCTCCATTCTATATTTGTATAGAATGAATGAAGCAGACCCTGGAATGCTAATAAGAAGAGGGGATAGATACTTTGACTTTGAGGTCCCATTGAGTGCCAGCATTCTAAGTGGGTACATCTGCTTCTGGGCCTCTCCTAAGAGCTCTCTCCCAGGGCCTGGGCCTTTTTAAAAAGGGTGTCTTTGTAATTAAGCAGCCCTTCCCCCCCCAACTCCCTTCTTCTTTTGATCCAGTTTTTTAGGCTTATTTTCCATTTGGAGAAAAGAGGAGTTTCTCACACCCTCTTTCTCCGCTCTTAACATTTCCTTTCCTTTATCCCAGAAAATCACACCCCACCACCAAGTACTCAGGATGGTTTGCAGTTTTGTTTTGCTTGGGACAGAGGGAGTGTTACCAGTGAGGAGGAGTAGAGGATATATCTCCCTATTGGGAAATACTTGTGGCCAGGTAGCCTCCTCCATGGAGACTGAGCATTTGAAATCCGTGAGAACAGTCTATTCTTCAGGACTGTCTGGTAGAAATTGTCCTTTGCACCCATTAAGCACAGCTTAAACCCACTGAAAGGGGTGGAGAGAGGTGTGTGTGGTCGGGTCTAGCCTTTTAGGATGGGAAATGTTTCCAAATCGCCTATTACATCACCTCTTTCTCCCATGGATTCAGTAGGTTTAGAGATCTGCGTGGCAAGTTAATTAGCTGGGGACTGAACCAATTTGTTTAGAATTGTGAGCTATTGATTTCCTGTCCCCAGGAATTCTTGTTGGTGTTTTACTATGATGTGTTGTCTTTAGCATTACTTTTCATTCCTTGTTGCCTTTTGTGGACTTTGGTCCAAAATCTAGGTTCCCACCCCCAAGTCAAAGGTTAGAATTTAGTTGCAGGAACTAAGGGGGCATTAAACAGGCGGGGACACTGCGCTTCTCTCCTCCACGGTGGGCTTCTGACCCTTTGGAAGGAAGTTGCCCTCTCCACATACAACACACACAATTTGAACAAAAACTAAAGAGGAAGAAAGAAAGAAAGAAAGAAAGAAAGAAAGAAAGAAAGAAAGAAGGGAAAGAAAGAAAAAAGAAAAAGAGAAAGGAAGAAAAAGGAAAGGAAGGAAGTAGAAGGTCATTTGCTTTCTAAAAGCATCTACACAGACTTCCTTGAACAGAGCTAACTTTTCTACTAAGTGTCTTTAAACTATGACTTGATAGATTAAAATAGTAATCAAAAAACCACCTTAGTATAACTGGGCTTTCTCAGGGACATGTTTATTGCTTAAAGGACTACATTAGCATTTGCTGTTTTGATTATTGCCTAAACTAAATGAGGCTATTATTGGGCTTTTGAAGCCTTTTGTTATATGGGATGGGGTTAATTGTCTATATCATTCTGGCTTGTAAAAATGCTGCCCACATTAGACTCAGCCCCCACATGCTTGTAGGAAGGAGTTAGCATTACTTTCTGGAACAAATAGAGCTTTGCAGATTTTGAACGTCTAAGGATGAGACTCTCCACCTCACTTAGGTAAAATCTTTTCTTTCCAGTTATTATATTTGATTAGCCCAAGGACCTAGAAAGTTGTTTGTTATAGGTTTATTTTTTGTTTTTGCAAATGATGGCCACTGGTATCATTTTAAATATAAGAGTCTATGATAGGCTTTCCAGGTGAACCCTTTGAGGAGAGGAGCCACGGTTTAGCAACGTTTTCTCCACTGTAAATTGTGGGGATTGGACAGGGGGATGTTGACAGTCAGTTCTCGAAAGTTCACGCTTGTCTTATGAGGCTTCACTAATTTGCTGTACCTCCCAGAATGAGGTGCAACAGTCATTATAAATTACAATCCTGTACTCATCCTGCGTGTGGGGGTGGGGTGGCGTGGGGATGAGTCTGTCTGTAATAATGTATCTATAGAAACGCGCTTTATAGTTTAGTGGTATCAAATAATAAAGCCAAGACTCTGTACAAAACTTCAAGAATCCCATTAATTGTTTTCCTGGTCCCTCTACTAATGTGCATTTTCCATAGTTTGGGTCGTAGGGGTGTGCAATGTTGCCCTTAAGCTTTGTAAACTGCTATGGAGTAATGGAGTAAGAACCAAAGTGAGTGCATGGGAAGAATCTCACATTTTGTTCCCAGAATTCCAGGAGGGACAAATAGGTTTAAGTGAGCTCTAAACACTTAGAAGTGGCTCATTTGTGTATGCAGCCAACCCATTAATGCTATTCTTCTGACCTGCACTTACGCTCTGCCACTAAAGAAAAACTAAACTAGAACCCAATGTCTACTCGTCTAAATCACTGGACATTATTTCAAATTGCTGCATTATGATATCTCAAGGTAGTATAAATTTGGGTGGACTCTGAAGGATCGCGAATGTGAAAAGGGGAGCAGGAAGGCCCAGATATGCTTGTCTGAAAGCTTCACAAATAATGTTTGTCAGACTGGAGATAAAAAAATGCAAGAAAACTAAAGTTTGTAGGCAATTAAGAACACAGCATATAGCTACAGTAAAGTGGTCCGCACACAATGGGTGCTTTAATTTGAGACCTTTAGGATATAGTGAAAACTTAAGGTTCATAGACCTTTAGTTATTCTTTAATAAATAAAATATAGTCTGCGTATGATATCTAATTTTTGATAGACTCATTCCTGGTAAACTAATAGCTCTTCACAAATTGAATGAAATTTCTTCAGCGAAAATATAAATATTGGAATCGAAGACTGTAGCATGTACAAATTTCCAAGTGAAGTACAGGCATGTGTTTCACCCTTTGTGCCCCTTGGGAAAGAAATGCAGGTGGGTTTGGTTTATTTGGTAATAGTTCCTAATGCAAATCAATCACACCCCCCTCTCTCTGTCTCTGTCTCTGTCTCTGTCTCTGTCTCTGTCTCTGTCTCTCTCTCCCTTGATTTGCTTGACATTTGTGAAGTCACTTTCACTCTTTCTGTGGCTGCCTGAAATGGCATTCATTAGTCTGTGTGACTTGAAGCCAGGATTTGGGATTCTCTGCCCAGCCCCTCTCTGACTTGCCATGTGACCAAGGGGAGCTGAATTAGCTGCTCTAAGCTTCAGTTACCCTTCTGGGAAGCGAGGATATTAATACTTCACAGAGGTGTTTAGGCATGCTTCATATTGGGCATATGCTTTGAGGTCATTGGATGAAAGGTGTTTGCATGATGGCAGAGCAGGCTTATTATAGGGTCCTGAGCAGATGTTCATGTCTAATGAGCTTTTGCTCGCTTATAACATACAGTGCCCTTTGGTGCCCTATTGCCTTTCTGAGTATAATTAAGATTGACCCTACATTTGTGCTATTGACCCTCTCAACCTTTTAAAAACATTCAACATTTTTTCCTATTCTCTCATAGTTTGTGGCCAAGTCAAAGGACAGTAGTGACTATCAGGATGGGGAGAATAGTTTGAGAAGCAGATAGTTGGAATGCACCCTAGTGACCAGTGAATCCTTCAGAGCACCTTCAAGCTTGTTAAAGTAAAGCAGAGTTTGATGCCTCTGGGTTTTAAGGGAGAAAGTTTTGAGTAATATTTGCCTGTGACAAACACTGGTGATAGCCAGTAACTGAAACCCAGCTGTTGTAGTGTTTTGTGCACAGCTGGTTTTTATTAATGATGGAATATTTATGCTTGCTCTACAATTCGTGGCTCATTTCCATGCGTATGTCAGAACTTAAATACCCCCAAAGGCAACATTAAGATAACATTAAGTATAAATGTGGCCAAGCTAGAAAGGGTGGATTTGGGGGGTATCTCGCTTATATTTATTGGTGTTGTTTCAGATTACAATAACTGATCATCTTTACACATTGATAATGATCTTTTCCCTTCTTATAATATCCCATAGATTTGGATACGTCTGATAAGGACAAGTGATTGTCGCCCCATTTTATGATGCAGAGGAAACTGATGTATGTATTTTTTAAAGAGCATTTTTTTTTTTACCCAGCACATGCTTCTCATTATCTGAGAGGCCTGGACTCAATCAGGAAAGGAGCAGAGAAACCACATAATTGAAAGGAGAATGACGGTGGTGCATACTTGGAATATTTGTGGGAAGGGGATTGCTGACATCAGAAAATGTAGCGGCCTGAGTGTTAACAGCATTGAAGAGAAATCAGCTTTCTGCGTTTCTGTGTATTGAGAATTATTTTAAGGCGATATAAATATGGGCCAGGTTTGACATCTTTTATGAAGTTGCCCTGGAAACTTTGATGAGGGTTGTTATAGAAAAGTTCAATTAAAGCCTTCCCTGTTAGGAAGCTAATTAGCGCATCCTTTACTCATTTTAGTTGTCTTCAAGGGCGCCGGTTTGCATTGAATTAGTGATATTCCCCCCTCGTGTGATAGCAAACAAGCCTAAAAAAAATCACAGATGAGGAAAATCATTTAGATTGCCAATTCTGAAGACAGAATTTCCTCTGCTACCTTTGGGCGTTTTGTTCAGATCTTTGTTGTACTCCGTTTATACAGTGATCCCATTTTAATTTAGCATCCAGTTTTATCTTGTGGATCATGAGTTCTGAACCACAACTTAGTAATGGGAGTTCTCTGTATGAACTGAGGAAATACAATGGATCGTAATACAGTATTTTATTAAGGTAATAGTCTGTTTTCTTTTCTTCTATGATTTTCTTGTACCTTTTTCTACCTATCCCCTTTTGTGTGTGTGTGCGCGTGCACATGTGTGCCTTTATGTGTGTTTGCCTGAGTACATACATATGTCAAAAGGAGAGAGCGAGAGAGATTGAGAGAGGCAGATTGTTTTCTAAAGCAAACAGTTTTTGTAGCTAAGAAAATATTGATGACCTGCTTTACCCCCTGGAGCATTCTTTTTGCCTGCAGCTGCCAATTAGTATTGTGTAGGGCAGTGTGGTAAATTTTCTGACCCCGTTGTTTCTGTGACCAGGCTAAGCACTTATTTCTTGGGAACATGAAGGGAAAGGGTTAGGGTGGGGCTAACCATAAGCACTGCCTTCCTAATAGCTTCTATTTTGCTTCACCTCTTTTAGGGAAAGAAATATTAGCTTCTGAGATTTCAGGGACATGTGCAGAAGAAGAGATGAACTATAGAGGGATAAAATATAAGGTCTACTTTGAGCCTCCCTTTCCTCCACAGTTTGTAGGAAATGATCATTCTTTATACCTAGTCCCTGATGCTTTTTCCTTGTGGGCCATGCCTGCATTAGTTTCCTGAGTGGGACAGTTACTTAGACTTTCTGACATGTGGCATAACTGATCTTCCTCTAGTCCTTCCTTGAGAAGGCAGGATGTAGAATCAGTTCTACAAGGCAACACAATCAAACGAAGTTCATGGTTTTTGCAGCTCGGCAGCAGGAGGAGGGGCTGCCTCTGTCTTTGGAGAGCGACTCAGGTTCTTTGGCATGAAGATATGAAACACTGGCTCTTATCCATGCACCTGCTGGATGCCACACCTGCAGCCAGCACCTGAGCCCCACTCCGACACAAAAACCTGACTGAAGGCAAATGGGGCTCCTTTCCAAACTCTGCAGCAAAATGGGGGCTTCGAGTTATGCCAGCACAACACCAGGGGATTTGGCTTTTTGTATGAGCTTCTCTTAGTTTTTACTAAAATTAATTTAAATGATTTCTGTTGTAAATTGTCTTCTTCCAAACCAGACAAGAATTCTGTGGAAGGGTTTGTCTTTTACCTGAATATAGGGCAGGCAGGAAGTCCCAAGATTTGGTTTCTGATTCTGACCCTACTGGGGAGCAACACTGAAACCTTGATCCAGGGAGTTAGCATTAGCTATGTGCCCTGCACTTGTGTTTCTCCAGTTGTAAAGTGGAGTTACTCACATCTGTCTTTACTTCCCCCCACAGCTGCTGCGAAGGCTAACAGAAGTGGAAGAATCATTGTCTCCATAGAGAGAAGACTGAGAAACTAAAGGTAATAATGATGTTAGTATTCTATGTCTTTCATATTTTTTTCTCCTGTTGCAGCTTCTATCAAAGTCCTTGGGCAGGTATTATTCACTCTTTATGTCCTTATTGAGTACACTGAATACATGAGTTGGTGTTTTAGGTACTGGGATAGAAAGAGCGTACACCCATCCTATGTATTCTACCAACTTGCACTTCCATTTCTGGCTCAACATCCTGTGATTTCAGCCTGGACTCTTAGAAGCACCAATGAGGAGAATTGCCTTCTTTTATGTCTCTGAATACTACTGGGGGCGTAGATCCCTGAAGCAAGGCCTTCTGGATTTAAATTATATAGAGGAGGTGACCTGAGAGTAAGTGAAGGAATCTGTCTCACATTTACATTATAGGCGTTTCTCGAACGATTATTTTCTTCAGGGGTCCATCATACTTTCGGCCTTGGTGAATTCTGTTCCTATTTTGTGGCCCAGCCCTCTCTCTTATAACTTTTGCAATTACACATATACCAATGACTTCCAAAGATATATTTCAGAATGTCTCTGGAATCATGTGGGTCCACAAATTCTGTGCCTTTGACTCAGCACTCTGCATATCTCTGTTCTACAGAAGTTTCTAGAGTAGACCTACCTTCGCAGGCCTTCCTGATGACTAGGCTCAAATTACTTGTTGCTTTTTTCTTCTCCAGTGTCTTCTTAGTATAAATGAAAGCTAAGCACTTTGAGCTATAGTAAATGCTCACTAAATGTTGGTGAGTAGTAGACTGTGATTGATTAGTGCTAAAACTGAGCTGTATACAACGAACCATAGTAACAGAAAGAGGACAGAATTTGTTTTCTATGCTGAGCAGAATTCAGGGCAGTGAAGAAATGGAGCAGGATTAGTGAAAATCTTTGAGGGAGGGGCTGAACCCACTTTTCTGAGAGTTCTGGAAAAGAAGTGAAAAAAAAAAAAAAGAAATGGGCCTCATGCAAAGCCAGGGGTATCTCTGGTCTGCTGCCTTCCCTAATTAAAACCTAAAACCCGGGTGACTTTATATGGTCAAGTATGTGCTCTTTCTATAACACATTGACCATTTAAACAGGTGGCATTTATTCATATTATATTAAACCAGGCCATCGTTAAAAAAGTGCTACTCTCATTGAAGTTGCAAATAGAGGCATGTGCACAGGCTCCTTGCTCATGTACATTCAGGTTTTTTTTTTTTTTATAGCAACATGCACATTAGGTTAAACCAAAGATTGGGATCTCAAAACTAACAAATTCTGTTCTCAGAAAGTAACAAGCTGGGTCACTAGAACTGAATGTCTTCAAGCTGACGGTCAGATCGTTCCAAGGGCAAAAATGAAAGATGATATAAGCCATTACAGGCCAGGAACCTCTTCTCACCCATCTGATGTTCTTACTAATTAGCTTCTTGGCCAAGTGGCAATTTGGGGCAAGTGCATACAAGCTAGATTCCTAGGGGAGCCCACATTCCACGCTCTGCCATTTCAAAAGGCACTGAGGTCCTACACTGCTTCTTTTGGCTTGAGCTTCCCAGTGTCCCCAGAGCCCTGCTCTGACCTGGTGGAAAAACGGGGGCAGAAGAACATTTTAGTAAGTGAAAGAAAGATTTCATGGGGTTTTGCTTTCTGCTACTTTTTTGTTCGTTTATTTTTTAAATGGATTTTCACAAACGTTTGTGCGCCTTGAGCCATTCCTTTCACTTGTGGGGTTGTATCATTAAGAAACAATATTATATTAGGATTAAGATTTTATTAATTTAATTAAGAAAATGTTTTTTCTTCCAAGATATGGCAAAATGGTTAAATCACAAAGATGTTTTAATGAAATTATTAAGGTTAGCACAAAATTGGAAGTCATTTGACTATCTTAATTGGAAAGTAGGTAAGTCATCTTGATACACTCATTCAATGCAATATTACATCACCATTACAATATTTGTTATGATATCTTACATAAAATCATATGGTAAAAGGCTTAGAATAAAATAACACGTAAGATCCCATATTTTGGGCATATTAATATTTCTTTGTGCTGGCTGTGATGGCTCAAACCCGTAGTCCCAGCACTGGGTAAACCGAGTAGAATGATTTTCACGAGTTTAAAGTCAGCATGGACTACATAGTTCCGGGTTAGTCTGGGCTACACAGTGAGACCCTGTCTCTAAAACCAAAACCAGGTGTTTTCCATTGCTTTACACAGGTCTAAATAGAACATTCAAAAATTTTAACAATGCTGAAGTACAGGATTTCTAAGTGATTTGTCTTCTTTATTATAACTATTTGCACACTATATTCATGTTGTTTATAAAAATAAAGTGTAAACAACAATACCATAGTGGGGAAGAGATTGTTAAGGCAGCAAGGATCTAGGTAGATTCTTAAACCTTCTTCCTTTTATGTGTGTCCCTTATATGGATCCCTTATACTTTTTTTGAGGCATTAAATGGCTAGATGTGGTACCATGGTCTAATAATTCCCGTTATGAATGGATGTATATCAGAGGAAGAAAAGAGGTGGTAACTGGATTCACCCCACTACTGTGTGTCTCACTGACTCCTCCACTGTCTGTGTGATCATTTTGTTGCCCATGAATATTTTTGGGTTAGTTGCTTCAGAGCAACATAAAAGGAAGTATAAGTGGGATAAAAAAAAAAGACCAATTCTGACCTGGGCATAATGACTCAGGGGTTTAGGGCACCTGCCTCTGGGAAGACTTGATTTCCATCTCCAGGATCTGCATGGTAAAAGGAGACAACTGCCTGCTGCAAGTTGACATCTGATCTACACATGCACAGCATAGTTAACTTAGCCACACATTGGTGCATGCGCGCGCGCACGTGCGCGCGCACACACACACACACACACACACAATAAATAAATAAAAATAAACTAATTAAAGTGTAATATGTTTTTAAAATAAATTAATGTTTTAGAAACAGTTTTCTCACATGCTCCTCAGTAAGGGTTAAAAATTTCAAGGCCTTACAGTAATTTTCCAACGTGGTATAGGCATTGAATGATATAGAAAAGAATTGTTGCCCACTCTTCCCTTCCACATTACTTTTTGGGGAGGGGCTTTGAAAGATGGGTTTCTCTGTGGAGCCCTGGCTTTCTTGGAACTCACTTTGTACACCAGGCTGACCTCGAACTCAGAGAACTACCTGCCTAGGCTGGAATTACAGGCATGTGCCACCACTGCCCAACCCCTTCCGAGAATTTTCTAAGCAGGAGCAAATGCCTATCCGGTATGCGAGTTACAGGACTGTGGGACACTAAGTGATTTCCCAAGAGTTATCCAGATTCTGACGGTTGATGGCTTCCGAAACCCTGTAACTAGGATACAAATAGGGACTTTAAATCAAACAACTTTCATAACATTTTTAAAGCATTCTAGAATAAAAGCTAAATTGACATAATAATTATAGCAAGAATTAACTTTTTGGACTTTTACAGAGTGTCAGGAGCCATGCTTCACACTTTCCATGAAATACCTCTACTTCTCTTAATCTTGATCGTAATCTTCCATTATGTGTACACCACTGATCCTAATTTCTAGGTGCTACTACTGTTACCTATGCAGATAAAGAAACATGGATGAGGTCAATTAACAAAGAACTTAATTCAGGATTTGAACTTGAGAAGTGAGATTATAGAACCCTTGGCCACGGGGCTTCTACTGTATCTCCACCACCTGTTCAGCTCAGTGACACCCTATGCAAAGAGTTGAATGTGTGCTCTGGCTTGCAAGATTTCTTGGGGAAGGTAGTGTCCACGAAAGATCAGGCTATTAAGCAGCACAGCCGGAGAGCACATGTGAATCTACTGGGACTTTCTGGTTCTGTTGTTGTTAGGTTTATTGATTTGAATGGGTGTTGGGCCTGGAAGGATTTGTGCACGATGTGCATGCAGTGCCTGTGGCTGCCAGGAGATGTTGTATGATACCATGGAGCTGGTGATACAGACACTTGTGAGCTGCCATGTGGGTGCTGGATATTGAACCCTAGTCCTTTTGAAGAACATTCAGGTAAATATAACCACTGAGCCATCTCTCCAGTACAGACTTCTTGCTTTTAATAAGAGTGTGTGTGTGTGTGTGTGTGTGTGTGTGTGTGTGTGTGTGTGTGTATTTTGACCTGGATGCTTTCTACTTCTCTGGAAATAAAGTATGAAGTAGATTGATCTGAATTTGGCAGAGAAACCAGTTTTCTAGACTAGGTTTTCCATCCTTGTTTGTATAGTAAAGGGCAGAATGGAAGGAGGAAGTAGAAGAAGGGTTAGAAAGAAGACCTAATAGGCTTATTGCAAAATTCATTTGAAGGGCAAAAATATGGTTTGTTCTGGCCACCTTGTAATGTTGATTTTGCTGGGTCTTGGCATGGGAAACATCTGAACTCTCACTAATGTGTTTGGCTCACCTTCCAGGTATATGGGGAGAGGTTCATGGCTGCAAGTGGAGCAAGAATTTAGCTTCACCTTGCTGCCCTGTTGTTACAGAATAGCTGGATATATAGATTTATACTGCACTTTTTAAAACAGAGTGAGGCATTTCCTTTCTTTTCTGGTCCACTATCCTCAAAGGCACTCTGTGTGTCCAAGAGCAAGAAGGTTATTTTATTGATTGAAGATGATGTCAGATCCCTGGCAGTGGCATGATTAAAAGTGTGGGCAAATTAAAGGTTATGTAGTTCCTACTATTTCGTTTCTTCGGCATGAGGCAAGGGATCTTCTCTCGTTTTTCCTTAGCATGCCGATTGATATAAGGTTTATCAAAAAAGCCATAAGCTGGGGAGAACTCTGTATATTTTTTGTTTGTTTGTTTGTTTTCTCCTGAGATGATTTGCCTTCCTGTAAAACAGAAACCAGAATCATGTGGTAAGGAAGCAGGAGAACACAGTGTCTCGTTGGTATTAGAAAGTGATTTGGGGCTTGAAAAAGATGTGGAGGAACTTGAACAAAATTAAGGGGGGGGGGGGCGAAGAGATTTTGGCCAAGTAATGTTTTCTTCAGTGAAGATCAGAGAGACAAGAGAAAGCCAGTCTCAAATCAGCATGAAGAATCTCAGTAGTTCTGGAGGAGAAACCTGTGGCGCCTTTCCACCAGGGGCTCCTCTTTGAAAGTCTAGGGCCATTTTCTGGTTTCGGTTGAAAGGCAGACACCTGTTTTCTTCAGAGTAGGACAACAGGAGCATGCTGGTTATTTACCAGAGTTCTACTCCCAGTCTCACTTTGACTCCAATTAAAAGTTGTTTCTCTGCTTTGCAATGAGGGGGAATCACCCTCAAATAATTACCTTGCAGATTGGAGGCAGTTTTGCTTTTGATCACGATTATACTTTGGACCAAAACAAGATGGAAAGACAAATTTCCGGGTTTGTTCACTCCATATCTGCTCGTTTATTTTTGGCAACATTGCAAGGAAATAATGCTAAATTAATCACTGTGTGGTTTTGTGGATTTTTTTTTCAACTTGAAAATTTTGGAAAAGCTCCCAAAATACAACGATGCTCATGTGTTTCTTCTGCATTGCCATGCTTCTCACAGAGCCTCTAGTGTGGAGTAAAAGGTTGTTTTTTTTTCTCTTTCTTTAAAGTGATACGAATGAGTCATGGCTAGGCCAGGATGTGGTTCATGTGCAACCTTACGTAAACACAAAGTCTTCGGTTTTACAGTAGCGTTGGTTGGACTTGGAGGGAGTTTTAGAAGGATTCAAAGCAGAAACTGTAAATGAAGACGCTCTCAAATGGAAATGAAATGGAGGAGACTCCTTTTGCTGAGACCCTGGGTCAGAGGAAGTGCCGAGAGGGCAAACTGAGGCATATTCTGTTGTGTTTTGAACCCGATAGGATGTTCGGCTTTCCTCCTCTTGCAAGGGTGATTGGCTGTTCATCAGATTGTAAGCTCAATGAGAGCAGGAACCATGTTTTGTGTATCTCTGTATGACTCATTGTGTCTAGTACGAGGCTGGCAAATGTGCGGAATGCTCAATATTCAATAAATATTAAATGACTTGACTGAAGTTTGTTTTTTTTCTGCCGGCCCGAGGCTGTGGCAGTTGAGTCAGGACTTTGATATTCAGTGGTCTCCCCCCCCCCCCCCGGATCTAACATGCGATGTCTGCCTTTCCTTCTGGTTGTAAGGTAGTTAAACTTACGAATCTATCCTGCAACTGACACCAACTGAATGTTGTTTCCCAAGGTCACAGTGGTTGTGGATATTTACCACCACCTAGGGTTCCAATAGGCATGGCTTTCTAAGGCTGGGAGACTGGGACACAGCAGCTCTTTCCGGGGTCACTTCTTAGTCTTTCTGTCCCCTTGGGGGCTGGCATGACCTCCTGCACACACCTGCTGCACAGTGGGCTCTCATTTCAAAGCCACTCATTTCAAAGCCAAGCTACACGGGACAAGACTTTCCCTTGGAAGGAGTAGGTTGTTAAATTGCTGGCTCGTGGTGGCAACTTAGAAACGACATTTTGATTTTTCCTGAACATTTCAGAGTGACCTGTGGTTGGACTCTTGCCGGCGCTTACCCTGAACCTGAGTGTTAGGGGAGAGGGAATCTGCTGCTGCGGTTTCTGGAGCTGCCCATAAGCAAGAGTTCCCTATCCTCATCAAGGCTTTAAGCCTAAAAGAAAGCAGAAATAGGTATGAACCGTTGGTGTGCCTATATGTGCGTGCACGTGTGTGTGTGTGCGTGTGCGTGTGTGTGTGTGTGTGCGTGTGTGCGTGTGTGTTTGGGAGTGTGTATGTGTGTACGTGCTTGAGCACATGGGACCTGCGTTTGTGCGTGCTGACCCACAGGGGCGCATGCCTGGGCGCCTATGTGTGCGTGCTGGATGGACGGGTGTGGCATGGGAGGGGGTGGCATACCTTTGAAGGTATGGGGTCTGGGACAGCTCAGTGTCCACATTCTCTTGCCTTGCGGGAGAGGGTTGGAAGTAATATTTGTCTTAACTACAAACATTCTTGTATCCACCTTTTTTTTTTGCTAGAAGAAAAGAATTTGGTAGTCATCTGTCCAATTTCAGGCAACAGAAGAGATTTTTCTATTTGAGTCTTGAGTCCAAATCTGGGAACCACAGAGTGTCACGGCAGTGGAGAGGAATATGATTACAGGCTAAGTTAGGTAGTCTTTTGGTGGCTAGCTTACACTTTCCCCCAAAATATGGATGAGATACAAAAAAAGAGTGTTTTGTTTTTTGAGCTGGGAATGTAGCTCAGAGGTAATGTGCTTGCCCAGCATGCCTGTGACCCTGAGTTCCATTTCTAATATTCCAAAACAAACCCATCAATAAGAAAATTATATATCTGAATAAAAAAATGATAAAACATGCTTTTGGGAGGGAACCTGGGGTTAGCTTTTCCCTAGAACAGTTGGAAGGCAAGTAGTGATAAGCATCAAGAAAGAAGAAAAGCCAGAGGCTGAGCGTGTCCATCTGCTGTCCCCATTCTGGATGCCCTGCAGCACTAAGGAAAGGGATTTTCAGAGAGCTGGGGGTGACTTACTGTTGAGATAGAAACCTGGTAGTTAGAGTGCAGGATTTTCATTTGGAAACCTGACACTCAGTAGATTGGCCCTTACAGTGACTTTTGTGTGACATGTCTATGCACACCAAGTTACTTCAGGTCTCTACAGTGAAAATTGCATGCTTTAGCATTGTTGTTTACTTGCAGTATTTAACAGGACTGATTTTATTTTCCAGAGTCTTTGAGTGTCTGATAAATCCATGTATGCAGTCGAGTGTCAAGAGGGAAGGGGTGGTGCATGTGACTTGCCCTTCAATTTTTCAGATGAGGAAGCAGAAGTCATGAAAAGAAGAGCACTGGCTTAGGCTCCCTTGTGTATTGCCGTAGTCTTGTGCCGTGGATCTTCCTTTGTGCTGCTGCTATTTGACAAGATCCATAGTAACTCTTTAGAAGAGCTGACGGCGGCAGTCAGGGCCACAGTCATCATGTTGTTTCAGAAGGATGGACTTGGATTTTTCAGTTTCTAAATGTCAGAGGTTCTTCCCCGTATCCACTTGTCCTACCCGACACCACAGAAAGCTGCCTTAGTGTCTCTCCTTGCTGGCCTAAAGAGAAACGTGTCAGTAGTACTTGTTCAAAGCTATTTTCTTATTAAGTAATGGAGCATCCAAAATGGATACGAAAAAGGTGTTTTTAAGATTATGTTTCAAAGTTATAGGCAATTTGAGAAAAAAAATGACATTAAGGCAGAGTTCATTTATGCCTGTCCTAGCTAAGCTGTCTTTATTATTTGTTTAAGTTATTGTTTTGGATTTTATTTTTCCTATATCGCATGCTGAACTTATTCATAAATCCTGTTTAGGGGGTAACTTTGCCCACTTCTCTGTCTCTGCCTTCATAGCATAAGACTTCTATTTTTAATTTAAATAGAGTACAGAGAGATGAAACTTGAAAGGGTCTTAGAAAACTTCCCAGTCTAATCACCCTACTTGACTGCTTCTTGCTGGCCCACTCCTTTTAGAAAGTAAGTCAGGATTAGTTAGATCATGGTGAAAGAGGAAACTACTTTTTGACCTAAATGTTCCTCAACCTATCAGTGCTAAAGACAAGAAGGATGGAATTAACCTACGATTTATGAATGCAATTCTCTGTTTTGGTTCTGTAATGGATTCCTCCCCTTCAAAAACACGTTTTCTTCCCCTTTAGAGGACTGATTAATCCATCACCTGGATGTTAAGCTTCCTGTTTCCCCTTCCCAGGTCAAGGGCAGCCCAAGTGCCCAATTTCTCTCTCTCTTCACAAAGCATCGCCAGCTATAGAGATGAGAAATTCTGAAGAACAGCCAAGTGGAGGAACTACGGTATTGCAACGCCTGCTTCAAGAGCAGCTTCGCTATGGCAATCCTAGTGAGAATCGTAATCTGCTTGCCATACACCAGCAAGCCACAGGGAGTAGCCCTCCATTCTCCACTGGCAGTGGGAACCCCGGCCCTCAGACTGACGTGTTGAGTCCCCAGGATCACCACCAGCAGCTCGTGGCACACCCTGCTCGACAAGAACCCCAGGGCCAGGAAATCCAGTCAGAAAATATCGTCATGGAGAAGCAGCTGTCCCCTCGAATGCAGAATAACGAGGAACTGCCGACCTATGAAGAAGCCAAGGTCCAGTCGCAATACTTCCGGGGCCAACAGCATGCTAGTGTTGGCGCTGCCTTCTATGTGACAGGAGTCACTAACCAGAAGATGAGAACCGAGGGACGCCCATCAGTGCAGCGACTCAATCCTGGGAAGATGCACCAAGATGAAGGCCTTCGAGACCTTAAGCAAGGGCATGTCCGATCCCTGAGTGAAAGACTAATGCAGATGTCACTGGCTACCAGTGGAGTGAAAGCCCACCCACCCGTAACCAGTGCTCCCCTCTCCCCACCACAACCCAGTGACCTCTACAAGAATCCCACCAGTTCCAGTGACTTCTACAAGGCTCAAGGGCCACCTCCCAGCCAGCATAGTCTGAAGGGCATGGAGCACCGAGGCCCCCCACCAGAATACCCTTTCAAGGGCATGCCATCCCAGTCTGTAGTGTGCAAGCCCCAAGAGCCAGGGCTCTTCTATAGTGAGCATCGCCTGAACCAGCCAGGGAGAACAGAGGGGCAACTGATGAGATATCAGCACCCCCCTGAGTATGGCGCAGCCAGGTAAGAGTTCCCTTTCTGTCATTTCCTGGCTTCATCCCCAACCAGCCTCTCCTGCTGCCTGGTGGGAAAGGGAAGGAATGGGCAGGTGCTTGATATAACAAACTTCCCAGTGGCTCAAGAGAAAAGCAGTACCTCATTTTAGCGTTGATGTACTCTCTTGTCTCCTGGGATTCTGGAAGAAGGGTCGTTGTTTCTAATCTTACGAGTTCTTAAAGGCCTGTCCTTAAGAAATAGGAGCAGATCTTCTTGGACTTTAATAAGTGCCACATTGTGTCACTTCCATTATTCACAATTCACTTTTGTGTGTGTGGACCAACATATCTGTTAGTTGTACTGTCTCAGAGAATTGTTTTGTTACTTTTCGACACTCAAGAGCAAGGCAGATAAGATTGTTGGTGGGAGAAGAATTATATACATGCGCTGGTTCAGAATGGTCCTTGCCTTGACCCTCAGGTCCAGCTTCTGGAAATGTCTGGGCAGGGGGGCTTCTCGGTTCTTCTGGAGAGAGCTGGTTAGTCAGCTGCCTGTCATGTTTTCAAGCATCTAGGTTAAATTCACATTATCTCTGTAGAAGTTCTTCCAGATACTAAAATCTATGTGCAAAACTACACTCATCCCTTCCATGTTGTACCTTTTGTTCTTCCTAACTATATTTCTTAATCATTCAGCACCCATTGTCATTTTTACTATTCACCCCATCCTGATTCTTTTTTATTATTTATATTACTACTCTTTGGTACAGTTTTAGGACATGGTGCAGGGGAACGGTTAAAAAAGACAGCAATAGCAACAGTTATGCTTGGCATCCTGGCCTCTTACCAGGGCTAGGTAATGATGGGTGACCATAAGGTTTGAAGCCCTAGGTGGCTCACAGTCCAAGACTGTGATCTCATTGGTATCTTCCTCGCCTCTTGTCTATTCGTTCATTTGGGAATGAACCTCCTGGCTTGAAGTTGGTGAGTCAGGAGGTAAGGCACTTCGGGTGGAGTAGGGCGGAGGTAAGAGAAGTTACCTAGCATTTCCTGGTATTTCTTTTCTCCCCTCCAGGTCCTGATTTTTTTTTCTTGACCAGAGGCAATTCATTTTAGGCTCCTCCCCTTGCCTTACCGGTTTAGGATTTTTTTTTTCTCCTTAACCCAGGGTGATTTTTTAACCCTTTGAAAGTTCCTCTGAAGTTTTCAGAAGGCAGGAGCCTGATTTTTGATAATCATCTCAGGACAGAAAATGGGATAAGAACAGGGCCCTTCAGCTTTCAACTACTGCAAGACCCCAACTCCCATCTGCCCCATGAAATGGCAGACCCAGGGAGGGCCTGCACCCGTGGACTGCATAGCTTAGTGGAAATCCATTCAAGCTAGGAAAATGTCAAGGAAGCCTAGGGCTTTTGTTTTGCTGTTCCCATCAGTATGGAAGCATTGGAGGCACTGCCTCCCTTCTGGCCTGTGGATGGGCTGACGTCTGATCTGTTGCCTTGTGGAAGAGTGTGTTGGCTAGGGTGTGGAGCTGAAGCCAATGCCCCAGCTCAGCACATGGCCCGCCTTCCCAGGAAAGCTATTTTCAGAACTCATTCACCAGTATTGTTTGTGATCTGAAATGACTCCCACAGTGTTTGAAGCTAGATGGAAAAGCTCTTTGATCTGCCTAAATAAATAATGGGACAAAGAGGGGTTTTTCCTTCCCATACTGATTAAACAACCAGAGAAATTAAGCTGCATATATTTTATAGGAAGATATGTATCTTTTCTCTTTCCTTCTAAATTATCTGTGGATCTCAATTTATGGCCCTTGGAACAACAAAGCCTAAGCTGACTACCTTTGTTTTTGGTTTTTTTTGTTTGTTTGTTTTTTGGCCGTGCTGGGTGTCTGATCCAGGGCCTCCAGCTTGCTAAGCAAGCGCCCTTCCACTGAGTTCCGCCCCCAGCCCTTGAGCAGCTTTTTAACACACAGGTACGCTCTTTTTAACAGTTGCTTCTCTACGGGACAAGAACAGCATATTGACATGCTGGACTAATAATGAAGTTGCCTAAGCTAGAAGTTTTCCATGGGAAGTTTGGGTATACATCCAACAAATTCTGTCTCTAAGCGTTTTGCGTGCCCTGCGTGGGGGAGTGGCACCCATTGACGGATCCTTGGCAGGCGGAGGCAGTCCATCAGCTTTCCAGAACTCTTCTGCTTTTCCGCGCTGACACCTTTTCCTGCTTGATTTCCTATATGGCTTGTGAATATCTTCCCAAGTAGCTGCAGCTCGCAGAAAAAAAATTGAAAAAAAAATAGAAAGCCTACCTCTTAATTCTGAACCTGTAGATGACAGATCAGGATAAAATGTCAGTTTTTCTGAAGAAAGTGCCATTAGAAAGAAAACGCTGCCTTCATTGCCTTCAGAGAGTCGGTGAACTGTTGGAGATTTGCTGTTCAAATGAACACAGTGTTATAAACAGTCCTTTGATTACTTCATCACCCCCATGCCCTCCTCCCTCCTTAGAAAAATAAATAGCTTGGATGCTCAGAGCTCCAGATGGGAAATAAGGCCAAACCATGTGAAGAATTATTAAATTTTTAAATCTTTGTCTGAGTACTGAACAACTTCTTCTTCTTCTTCTTCTTCTTCTTCTTCTTCTTCTTCTTCTTCTTCTTCTTCTTC